CGCTTCGTCGCTTCGTCGCTTCCTCCGTTGAAGCGTGCGCTTCCCTCGGTCGAGTCGCCTCAGGCAGCTAGAAGCGACACTGAGTCGCGTCGCGTCGCTTCGCGCTTAAAGCGACGAAGCGATCGCTTTTCTAAACACTGATCAGTACCTTCTTGGTACCTTTTCAATAAAATCTTTACCTTTCCATTAAAAAAAAGAAGAAAAAAAAGGAGACTGGTGATAAGATTCATCTGGTGCAACTCAGGTTAACTGTTGAGTGCCAATGTGGCATGGAAGACATTAGAGAGATCATCCTCTTTGATCTTGGCAATATCTTTTGGACTCAAAAACATCCATGTTCTTTTAGCCCCTGCAGAATAGGGCCGATAAAGATCATATTTGGTGAAGAATCTCCACCTCTGTTTATTTTAACGGAATGTTTGGGAACTGATTAAAAGTGGGCCAGTTTGACAAACATTGTTGACTATTAGTGCTCCAAGTAAAAGAATATGGATGTTTTGAGTCCAAACCCAAAGATAGTGGACAGTTTGAGGCCTTTCTCGAATCCGTTAGTCATAAGTTGTTTAGCATGCAATAATTATATCCATCTTTAGTTTTAAGATGTTTCTGCTCGCTTTGCTTTTTGGAAAATTACTGCCACCCCATGTTCGGATGCAGACTGTAACCTATGATTGGAAATTGGGGAAGGTAAGCAATAGGAAATGAGACTAGTAAGGATATGAAATGGAGGAAAGTTTTTTTACTTTTTTTAGGTTTGAGTGGAAAATAAGGAAAGCAAGGGGGAAATGTTTGGTTTTCTTTCCCATGAGTTTACATTTAGAGGTGCGCAAAGGAAAAAAATTTATCCTTATATTGTTTGTCCTTTTCTACTCAAACAAACAAGAGGAGGGGACATTTTCCCTTCTTTCTCTTCCTATCTGTTCTTTCCGAGAAAGTGTAAATTTCTTTCACCGTATCAAAAAATGTTAATGTCCCAATTTGTCTGTTTCCCGGCCTGTCCACAGCCTTTGAAGTGGGAGCTCAAGCAGAAGCCTGGACTCAGTCCTCCACGTGGTGGGTTCAATCTTGATGATCCTAACCAACAAATAGTTGCTGAGGACATATTTGATGAGTACGGAGGTAACATCTTCTTCCCATGGCCAGTGGTACCTCAGGTTAAATTCTTTTATAGTGTTTTATGTATATTAAATGCTAATGCCCTGTTTGATGTGCAGGATTTCTTACTGGGGATAATGTACCTGATTTGCTGGCCAGCTTATCAAGCAAACCAAAGAAGAAAAAGAAGTCCAGTAAAAGCGAGAACAGAAAGCGGTCTTCACCAGCTAGACCAGATTTACGTGATCACGAAGAAATTACTTCATCTTCGAATGATGATGATAGAGGAAGAACACCAAAGAAGAAAAAGCATAAGAAGAAGTCTCGAAAGCGTTCTGTGTCTTCAGAGGACTCTGATAGGCATCGGAAATGGAGTAGTAACAGACAGAGACATTCACTGTCAACTAGCGGAAAGCATTCAGAGTCAAGTTCAGAGGACGACGATAATGACAGGCATCGGAAAAGGAGTAACAGACAACACAGACAGAGACATTCACTGTCAACTAGCGGAAAGCATTCAGAGTCAAGTTCAGAGGACGACGATAATGACAGGCATCGGAAAAGGAGTAACAGACAACACAGACAGAGACATTCACTGTCAACTAGCGGAAAGCATTCAGAGTCAAGTTCAGAGGACGACGATAATGACAGGCATCGGAAAAGGAGTAACAGACAACACAGACAGAGACATTCACTGTCAACTAGCGGAAAGCATTCAGAGTCAAGTTCAGAGGACGACGATAATGACAGGCATCGGAAAAGGAGTAACAGACAACACAGACAGAGACATTCACTGTCAACTAGCAGAAAGCATTCAGAGTCAAGTTCAGAGGACGACGATAATGACAGGCATCGGAAAAGGAGTAACAGACAACACAAGAAGAAGAATCATAATGAGTCAAGTAGGGGAAAGCATTCTGAGTCAAGTTCAGAGGACGATAATAATAACAGGCATCGGAAAAGGAATAACAGACACAGACATTCACGGTCAAGTTCACCTGTGCCTGAAGATAAGGAACACAGGAAGAAACAGTATTCTGAGTCAAGTAGGGGAAAGCATTCTGAGTCAAGTTCAGAGGACGATGATAATGACCGGCATCGGAAAAGGAGTAACAGACACAGACGTTCACGGTCAAGTTCACCCGAGCCTGAAGATAAGGAACGCAGGAAGAAGAATCGTCACTACCGTCATCATCACAGTCGGCACAATCATTCTGATTATTCATGACAATGAAGTTATATCATCTAGCTGTTGCCTCCTATAGAAGAGCTCCAAAACCCACTAGTGATGCAAAAGCAGTAAAAGGAAAAATGGTGAGCCACGTTAAACCTACAGTGTTTGTATGATTGTGAGTAGTAGACTGAATTTCTGGTTGAAAATATCATACTGTTGTTTTCTTTAAAGCTTTCTGCCTTTGCTAGTTTCCTGCAGGTTCTTGGAGACCAATACTTGGATTAAATTGATTCTAGTTTAGATAGCTGGCCTCCGTTAGAATTCTCACGCTGTTTAGTTAAAAATATGGATTATTATGTAATAGGATTATTTTAAAGATACCGGATTGTTTTGGGTCTTTTCTCCAAATTTATGATAGTCTCTCAACACTTGGGTGATCTTTGTAAATTTTTGTTTTCCAAAAGCTTTTTTGCAAAACTTATCCAAATATTTTGCGGATGAAGACGGTATTTTTGGAAATAGAGATTTTCAAAAGCTTCTTTCACTTGTAAAACATTCACGAATGCATTTTTATCATCTTCTGTGGAACGGGCTTAGGATTCTCACCAAGAAAAACAAGTATTTCAATACAGAACATGTATGCGAGAAACATTATTAAAATTTGAAAAGTGAGAGTAACACATTGATTTTTTTTGATTTCGGTAAAGAAGTTTCGGAAAAAATTAGTCCGGCGTCATATTTTAAAGCATGCTATTTCAGCTGGTACATAGGTGAAAATCCTAACCGAACCCAGCGCTTCAACTAAGTACTGCGAAGTGAAGTTACCGTCCGGTGTGAAGAAATTGATTGACGTTAAATGTAGGGCTACGATTGGGCAAGTATAGAACCCGGAACACGGGACGAAGAAGTTGAGGAAGGCGGGACATGCCAGGTGGCTAGGACGGAGACCGACAGTTCGAGGTGTGGCGATGAACCTGGTGGATCATCCACATGGGGGTGGTGAAGGGAGGAGTAAGAGTAGTGGAAGTCATGGCAGGGTTTCGTTGACTCCTTGGGGTAAACCTACTAAATCTGGGTATAAAACTGGGCCTCTTAAGAGAAAAAAGTAGGTCTCTTTTGGGTAATTTGATGGATATTTGTTTGTTTAAGATTATTATGTTTTTGGATGAAGTTACGGCGAGATAATAATATTAGCAAATCAAGTTTGAAACTTGTTTATCAAAGAGCCGTATCCAGGATTTGAGCATTATAGGTCCGAGTTCATAATTCTACCACAAATTATTTGATTTACTACATTTTGAACTATATTATTTGTACTTATTTAGTGCACTTTTTAACACATACAGGGTCTGAGCCAAAATAGGTTAGATGATTGCATTTTTTAAGACTCTAAACTCGGTTAGATGATTGCAGTTCATTTGCTTTATGTTTTCTTTCTCCATGCCAGTATTATAGTATAGTTCTTATTTTCTTTAATGTGGAGTATACATGGATATCATTGATTCTTGCTCTGCATTTGTGGAAGCAAAGTTATGGTGATATCTTTCCCTATTATCGTCTATTCTGTCTTAGGCATGCGCGCAGGAATGTATTGTTATTTCTGATGTTGCTTTTTCCTTTCCATAGCCTCTGATAATGAAGTTTTTGTGTAAGTTGCACGCTTATTGTTTCCAACATAATTTTTAGTTTCTTGAGTAGTTAATGAGTTGATGGTGGGGCAATCTGTCATATCATATTTATGCTTTTCCTGCAATAAATTGAGTTTTGTTTTTTCTCTGAGTTTTTCTTGGTATAGTCTTACCTCGTCTTCTTGTATTTCCCTGATGTTTTACATAAATTACTTTTTGATTCCATTCCTCAACTAGATTGGGTAATTGAGCCGTACCTGTTGTTTCTGTTGTTGTACTTTTTGCTTCCATTAAGATGATCTTGCTCAGAAAGTCGAGGCTTTCTCACATGCTGTGTTGTGGTCTTTGAAGAATTGAATTTGTTTAGGTTTGGGAGGTGCAGCGAGAAGAAATTGAATTTGTNTTGAGTTTGATAGAGCGTCTCTAGCTATAACTTTTAGTTCCAAGTTAACTATGAGTTCAAGGACAACCGCAGGCGGCTGTTCTTGGCGTATAGTGCTGGCTTGTTACGATAAGTCCATGTGCAGACATACTTAGTGCTAAATAAATTATGTATACTTGCGATAAGATTGAGTCCACTTTGTACATTTGCTGAGCAGACCACTCAGACATTTTAGAAAAGGAGAATAAGGTCAATGAAGTTAGTGTAAACCTTGGAGACCAGGGTTCAAATCCCTACTAGACAGTAAACATTAGATGATTACTTCTCATCTGTCTAAGCATTAGATAGAGTTATTCGATACCTGTGTGGGTGGGAAGTAGCAGGTTTAGAAGAAAAACAATGCTGGGGCAAGATCAACCATACCTATCAGAATAATTGTTGAGTCATTGAACTGTGATCAACAACCTTCCTCAAATTCAAGTTGACATTTTGAGGTTGAGGGAGGATGTTGATCAATATTTGATGTGCAAGCTCAAGATATAGATCGAAGGCCCAAGAGCTTGACCAAAAATTCTAAACATTTAGTGACTGCGCCAGTTGATTCTATTGGCTATGATATTTACTCCAGATTAAGTATTCTCTTTTCTTTAGTTGTAACAGGCCATCAAACTGTCTAATTAACTTGCTAAGCTTTAGGCTAAGTGCTATTTGAACGTATTAGTGCACTATCAAGAGACTGGAGATCTTATTGAACTGTTTCAATTAGAAATGATAATACGAGGAATGTACCTTGTATAGTTACTGGGAGGGGAGGGTGTACGAGCGGTCATTTTTCAATTTAAAGAGGATTAAGACACTAACTCTTTGTTCTGCATTGCAATACAATGAGTTTTTTTCCCCCCTCAGCAGCCTCTATTTTCTGTTAATTTTTCAAAATGTTTACATTTTTTTCAGTATCCAAATTATCAGTGCTTCAAAGCTGCTCACCTTTTGCAAGGTGCAGGCGGTTCTTGTTTCTACTCAATATTTTCTTTTTCAAATTTCTGCGTGGAGTTCTTCAAACTTACTGTTACGCGGCGCCTTCCTGAAGTTCCTTGAAAGGGCGATGTAAGGCTAGGCAACCGATGTCAGTATGGTTGTTGTCCGCCAACTGAGGTCCCCTCCGTACGCTAGACTAGATTGTCAGGGCCGTACGGGAAAACCAATGTCATGAGCAATTGAAAGAGAGCAGAAAAGAGAATTGAGAATGA